CCAACAACAGTACAAGTGAGAACCAAATCAAAGACTCAATTCCCTTCAAAATAGCAACAAAGAAAATAAAGTACCTAGGAATATATTTAACTAAGGAGGTAAAAGACCTCTACAGGGAGAACTATGAAACACCGAAGAAGGAAATAGCAGAGGATGTAAACAAGTGGAAGAATATACCATGGTCATGGGTCGGCAGAATCAACATTGTTAAAATGTCTATACTACCCAAAGTGACCTACAGAGTCAATGCAGTCCCTATCAAAATACTATCATCATTTTTCACAGATATAGAAAAAATAATTTTACCTTTCGTATGGAACCAGAGAAGACCCCGTGTAGCAAAATCAATCCTAGGCAATAAAAACAAAATGGGAGGTATCAATTTACCAGACTTCAAACTATATTACAAGGCTATAGTAATTAAAATAGCTTGGGACAGGGACACGAACAGGGACATTGACCAGTGGAACAGAACCAAGAACCCAGATATAAAACCATCCTCAGATAGCCAAGTAATCTTCTACAAAGCAGACAAAAACATACAATGGGGAAAAGAATCCTTGTTCAATAAATGGTGCCAGGAAAACTGGATAACCACATGTAGAAGACTGAAACAGGACCCACACCTTTCACCTCTCACAAAAATCACCTCATCCTGGGTAACAGACTTGAACCATAGGTGTGAAACTATTAGAATTCTAGAGGAAAACTTTGGAAATACTCTTCTAGACATTGGCCTAGGCGAAGAATTTGTGAAGAAGACCCCAAAGGCAATCACAGCAGCAACAAAAATAAATAAATGGGACCTGATCACATTCAAAAGCTTCTGCACAGCCAAAGAAACTGTCAAGGGAGCAAACAGACAACCCACAGAATGGGAGAAAATTTTCGCAAGCTACACATCTGATAAAGGGTTGATAACTAGAATCTATTTAGAACTCAGGAAAATCAGCGAGGAAAAATCAAACAACCCTATCAAAAAGTGGGCAACGGACATGAACAGAAATTTTTCAAAAGAAGACAGAATAGTGGCCAACAAAACATATGAAAAAATGCTCAACATCTCTAATCATCAGGGAAATGCAAATCAAAACTGCAATGAGATATCACTTATCTCCAGTAATAATGGCCTTCATCAAAAAGTCCCCAAACTATAAATGTTGGCATGGATGCGGAGAGTTAGGAACACTCCTACACTGCTGGTGGGACTGCAAGCTAGTTCACCTCTGTGGAAAGCAATATGGAGATACCTTAAAGCCATACAAGTAGATCTACCATTTGATCCAGCAATTCCACTACTGGACATCTAGCCAAAAGATCAAAAGTCACTTTATGAAAAAGACACCTGCACTCGAATGTTTATAGCAGCACAGTTCACAATTGCAAAGTTGTGGAAACTACCCAAGTGCTTAGAAGTGGATCCCTATCTGTCACCATACGAGAGAGAGAGAGAGAGAGAGAGAGAGAGAGAGAGAGAGAGAGAGAGAGAGAGAGAAATAGATGAT